TTGGTGTCCTGCATTTTATAATCCTGTCTGCAACTATCTGGAAAATAAGTGAGGAAGCCCCAGTGAGTTTGAGCCAATATTTCTTATCAGGAGTCTTAAATTACACATGCATATCAGTTTAAGTGTGGATATATGAAAGAATAAATGAATAAGTGAGTTTTCCTTGAATTTTAGAATATGCATATGCATACCTATTTATATATGAAAACATTAAATAATAACCACATGAAGTTTAACATGTATAATTAGTGTTTGAATACAGAAAAGAAGAACATCTAGAAGAAAATGTCAAAAAGGCTCAATAACTAAGATGAAGTATTCTCCTGGCAAGAGCTGATGGATTGCTTGGCAAGAATTTAGGTTACAGTTACGTTATTCTCTCTTCTACAAAGATGAAATATATACCCTTTCTAGGAGTTTGCATAGAATTCCAATTTGTTGTCGTTACAGAATATAATGACCCTTGGGTATACACCTGATTTTCCTACTAGAATTACTTACCAATTTTCCCCACTCTATCCGCTTCTAACCATGTAACAATTTTGACTTTTGTGGTATAGAAAAAAGCAACTGAAATATAAGAATGATTATAATGATGCTGAAAATTTAGAGACACCTGAAAACAAAAGGCACACTTTAGCATAATTGAGCCACCAGTAAATCTCACTAAAAATTAAACAGAATTTTGTCATACTTCCAGTTAAATCTACTTAAGTTATTCTTACAGTGTAATCTTATTTCTATCCCTGCCCATTCTGTAGTCCTTCCAATTTCAGTGGGACAAGTTTGCACATAACAACAAATAATTGTTTTCATAGTTGTAATTAATATTGCAGAGGTTGTAATCAAACTTCATATTCTATGGAGTTAATGGTGAGGGTGTTGTCAGGAACACAATAAACGTACCCATGGTATTGTTGTAGAATTATTTTTGTAATAGTACAATACAATCACTTTTTATAGTATCATTTTTTGATCGGGTAACGTGGTTACTGGTTGTGCAAATGCTATAAACATATCTTGACTTCAGAAAAGCCTCTCACAAAATATCCTGTTATATATAAATTAATAATCTAGTGAATATGGGCTGAATGACATGGAAATTATGTAGACCTAAAATTGACTCAAATTGTAATCCAAAAATGTTAATTCCTTATCTAGGTGGAGAAAACTATCAATGGTGCGATACATAGATCAATCTTGGGCTTATTGTATTCTTCAATATTTTCATTAGTGATTTGGGTGAAGAGGCAGTGAGAATGCATATCTCTACATGACCCCAAAATTAGATGGAATGGCTAATAGTCTAGACCAGTGGCCCCCAACCTTTTTTGTGCCACAGCCCGGTACCGGCATCACAAAATGATCCGTGACCCGGTACCGGCATCAGCACGCATGACAAGGCGAGCCGAGCGACCAGCCAGCCAGCCGTCCCCTGCTTCTCCCCGCCACCTTCAACTCCTCCTTTGTACCTTTTTTGTGCTTTTTTGTGCTTTCTTAATCTCCTCCACCATCGGGATGGCTCTTCATTCAAAGCCGCCCCCCCTTCGATGAAACTAAGGCGTGAGGATTCCTTCAGGACCCAAACGCCACTTTCCAACCGGAAAAGCTCACCCGGAAGCACTTTCTCGTCGAAACAAGATGGCGGTGCCCAGCAAACCGGCGGCCCTGTAGAAAATGATCTACGGACCGGTCCCAGTCCGGGGCCCGGTGGTTGGGGACCCCTGGTCTAGACTACTGAAATAAAAGTCAAAAGATTTGGGCAAATGGGCTGAAGGTAAAAGTATGAAATTTAATGGAAACAAGTATGAAGTTCTTTACTTGGGGGGAAAAGATCAAATGCATAGGATAGGGATACCAGGCTTAATAATGATCCTTGGACAAAAGAACTTGGAATAGTTGTTAACTGAAACCTGAAGATCAGCTTGTAGTGGGATTTGGCTACAAAGAAAGCAAATTCTGATGCTTTAGGTTGCATCAATGGAAATACAATTTTCAAATCACCAGAAGTAATAATTCCACTTCATTTTGCTTTAGTCACACTCTGCCTCGAGTACTGTGTCCATTTCTAAGCACCACATGTCATAAAAAAGATCTAGACTAGAGCAATTGGAACAGGTTTGAAGAGCAGTGAAAATTAATAGAAACTAAGTCCTATGAGGACAGATTAAAGGAGATGGGTTTGTTTTACCTTGAGATAAGATGACTAAGGGAGAATATTACAGCACTCTTCACATATTTGAAAAGATGTCATGTAGAAAAAAGGTCAAGATCTGTTCTCACTTACTCCAGAGAATACAATATGGGGAAATATTAAGTTATAGAGAGGCAGTTCTAACTGAATGTCAGAAAAAAAATATCTACCTAATAACAGCAATACAACAGTGAAACACATGCAGAGAGGTGATGGGCTTTTCTTCACTATATGTGTTTAAACAAAGAAAAACCCAGAAATTAAAATGAATTTCCGCACCGAAAAAGTTGAATTTGGCTGTCTAAAGGATCCCTTCCAATTTAATGTTTCCATGTTTTTAAGTTAATAGATAACTACATACTTTAAACTGTAAATTTAAAACCAAGATTGCTGTTTATTTTTGAGATAACATACCTCTCATTGGTTTAATTGGTGGATTAGAAATGGAGTCTTAGTAGATATCTCTGTACAGTGCATATTAATTGCATTAAAATAGCCCTTAATTTGTTAATGCTAATAGTGGCAAAATGCTATTATATAAATGCAAGTCATTTCTATACCTAATAATTTAACAAAATGAAAAGTAATCATTCTTTCGATCATCAAAGATGTTTTACATACACCAAATGTAATTCCATTGTTAAGGGACATAACGATAGTGCTGGAAATATTTTACTCTCTTCAGGAAATCCTTGCTGTGCATACAAATTAATAGAACATGTTGAAAACAGCCCTGTATATAATAATTGTATTAAGAGCATCATTAATGCAAATGATTATTAGGATTTTGAGACAGCTGGACACAGTAGCAATTTCAGAAATGTTGCTGCTACAGACTGCTGGTCACACATGCTGCTGAAAATGATACAATCAGCAAAAAGATATACAGTGTATTACTACTTGGCAACAGTGTTATTGACAGAACAAACTAATATTGGGAATTGAGAAAAGAAATTGTTTTGCGGTAAAAAAAATATTTATGTTACCAATGTGCTAAACAAACTGCTATAAGAAGCATGTAACAAAGTAAAAGTACTATAAATACACACTTCATATGCAACTATTTGTATCTGGAAATATAGCATCATCTGCAGAAGCAGCAATCTTTGCATCCAATTTAGAATAATTAGACCATGTTGATAATTTAAGTGGCCATTCTAGCATCCTTTTGTACTTGAAAGGGTGAAAGATCTAGATTAACATATTTTCAAAGGATGTCAGCCAATTTTAGTTGAGCAGCTGCCTGAGCTGCTTTTAAATCAATCAATCAATTAATGGATTAAAGTTCATTTTAAGCAGGTCAATACAAATGATACTTGATAGCTTTGCTTTATACATTGTACAACTTACCAGTTGCTGCTTTTATAGTATACCATTTCCATTCATGCCAAAGGATAAGGCCACCCAAAAAAGATGCAGTTGACCGGTGGGCTGGCCGCTGGCCAAATGGACCCCCCCAGCTTGGCAGGATAACCTACTACTTGTTAGAGAAATATTGTGCAATACATTCCTCAAAAGTAAGTCTAAGAGCTTTAGAATAATATATTCTAAAAATTATTGTATGAGGATTGCAGTCAGCAGAACAGTTCCATACTTAGAAATAAGCCCATATATTTATTGTAGCTCATTCCCAGGTAAATGGAGATATAGCAGCAGCCTTAGAAACAATTATGAATTTATTAATTGGAAGTTATATGCTATACTGAAATTTCTATTTAATAAAAAATGCAGGAGGCATGAAATAAATTTACTGTTAAAGATGTACACTAATAGTTTATAATAATATCAACCCTGAAAAATATAGCATTTGAACAAATTCTGATTATAAATGTAGAAAGTAAAAAGGACATCTTTATATCATGTTTTTATCTTTCCATATAATAACAAATGCAGGCATTTGTCTTACTGACCTAGATATTTCTCTCTAATCCAGCAAAGAAACCCATTATGCAAAAGTAGGTTGGATCAGTCCTTTGAATGAAGATCTCTTTATGCATATATTAAGAGCTTATCTTGAGCTGAGTAGACTTACATGCATGTCTTATCACATATGGTACTTGGACTGTACCTGTCTACTTGGTGTTCTGAGAGTTTGATAATTTATTCATGTGCCTAATCTTTTACTCAGTTTTGTGTACCTGGCGTGATAAATGACAATAGATGTGGAATAATTTATGGTTTGGTTGTTGTGTGGTAGTTGCTAAAAACTTTTGAAAGTTGGGTGACATTAAATTGAATAACGTAAATAAATAAATACCCCCATAGATAGGTTTAATGTCAAAATGAATTGGTTCTTTTTTCTTATTCACACTACGTAGTCAGTCCTTCCTTCCTTCCTTCCTTCCTTCCTTCCTTCCTTCCTTCCTTCCTTCCTTCCTTCCCTTTTCTTTCTTCTTCCTCTTTCTTACTACTTGAAATAACCTTGCTTGCCCCAGAAGAGAATAGCAAGGTGGTATATTTTAGAAAACCTTATCCCTTACTCCAAGGGAAAACATTTTCCCCCTCTCTTTTCACACGTCTTTGAATAAGAGAAAACAGGGAGAGGCAGCTTCCGTCCCTGGTTTTATCATGTTCTATGTCAGCTATCCTGATCCAGAAAGGAGGCTGCCATAAAGAAGCTGCGAATTGCCCCTCTCTCTTTTCCAGAGGATCCTCTTTGCCATAAGAGCTGCAGCAGGAGACGGAAGAGAAATCCAGTCCGCGTTTTCCACGTATACCAGGATAATCAGAGAGAAGTGGATAATAATTGTTAGAACTCGTTCTCCTCGCCTCTCCCTCCCTCCCTTCTCTCCCGAGCCATGCTGGGCCTGATAGGCTCAGCCAGACGTGTATTTACCCATATCCGGGCTAGAGAGGAAAAGAAAAAACTTTCATTTAGACTAAAAACAACAACAACAACAACAATAACTTTCACCATGAAATCACACAGCAGGAACAGGCATGGACCGTAAGGCATTCTTCAATTTCTGATCTCCATCAAGGACTTTGGGAGGAGACTTTTCTGTCATTTTTCCAAAAAAGAAAGAAAGAAAAAAGCCGCGGTTTGCGCGTGAGCGCGCGCGTGAGCGCGCTTGCCTGCAATAATCATACAGGCTTTCCCCTCCTCCCTCCATCAAATAAATCTCCCCCCCCCCGTCCTTTGGGGCCAGTTTGGAGTTTTCTTGCTCCTGTCAATTCCACACCCTTATTTGTTTTGCCAGTTTTTCTAAAGTGGGGGGGGGGGGTGTTGTGTGCGAAGGAAAGGGGAGGGAGATATTTGAGTCTCCTCGATCATGGCCGCGCAAGTAGCAGTGGCTCCGATGAGTGCGAGCAAAAGCAAGGTCAAAACCCAGAGTTTGACGGGTAACTTAAGCCAGGATTTTAACTCTGGGGCTGGCACCGTCGGAGCTGCTGGATCTGGCTCGCTCCTGGGGGTCGTAGATGGGACGAGCAGCAGCAGATTGAATAATGTAGATCACCATCTTCACCAAGCTAATGTAGTGAACATGGCCAGTAATGCAACTTCTGCCGCCGCCGCGGCTCCTAACAACGCTACCAGCAGCGGCCGCAGCTCTTCCTCGGAACTGGTTCTAAAAGACCCTGGAAGCGTGTCGGGCTTATCTTCCTCTTCTTTTCCTATGGAGATAGGGCTGCTTCCCAATCATAAGTTGCAAAGCGTTGGAGGCGATCCCTCTGCCGCCGCACCTTCACACCACCCCCGTGCCCAGCACCAGCACCCAGTTCACCTCCGTGCCCAGCACCCCCACGTTCACCACCACCGCCACCACTATCACTACCACCACCATGCAGTTCAACACCAACAGCTAAATCAATTCCAGCCACAGCCGCCGCCTCAGCACCATCCGATGCAGAATAACAACAACGGCGGCGGCGGCGGCAGCAGCAGCAACAACAACGGCGGCGGCGCTGCTCAGCCCAGCAGCGCAGACATGGAACAGCAGCAGCAGCAGCAGCAGCAGCAACATGGAGGAAAAGACCGTGGCTTGGGGGGACAGGCCGAGCCCCAGAACCAGCCGCAGCCTCAGCCCCTGCTGAATCAAGGCGGGGACGAGGAAGAGGCGACGCCGCCGCCGGACAAAATGGGCGAGCAGCACCTCAACAGTCGCTACGACCACCCTAGTTTGGGACCTTTGGGCGGGCAGCAGCAGCAGCCGCCGCCGCCTCCACCGCTACCACCACCACCACCACCTCAGGGAGCGGGCGGCAGCAGCAGCGGCGGCGGCGGCGGCGGCACTGGAGGAGGAGACGGCGGCGGCAGCGGCGGCGGCCCCTCAGCGGTGGGTGTCTCGGAGTTTAATAGCTATTACGGCAACGCTGGCAGCGGCAGCGGCGGCGGAGGCGCCTCCTCAGCGAGCCGGGCCGGGCCTTGCTTTGATCAACATGGCGGACAACAAAGCCCCGGGATGGGGCTAATGCACCCCGCGGCGGCCCCCAACATCATGGACCCCCTGCCCAACTCGCACGAAGGCTACGCCAACAGCCAGTACAACCACTACTCGGGCGCTTACGGCCGGCCTGGCGGCGGCACTAACACAGGACCAGGAGCCGTGGCGGCGGCGGCTGCAGGAGGAGGAGGAGGAGGAGGAGGCGGCGGCGGCTATGGGGGCTCGTCCTCTGCTTTCGGGGTGCTGAGTTCCCCCAGGCAGCACCAGCAGGGCATGATGCTGGGCCCTGGCGGCGGCGGGAGCTTGGGAAAGGCATCTGGGGCGGCGGGTTTCCAAAGATTCTCCGGGCAAAACCAACACCCGTCTGGAGCCACCCCAACCTTGAACCAGCTGCTGACTTCCCCCAGCCCCATGATGAGGAGCTATGGCACAGGCTACCCTGATTATAGTAGCCCCAGCGGTGCCCCATCGCAGCAGCCGGCTCAGGGAGCAGCTGCCGCAGCCGCCCCAGGAAGTCAGCAGGCAGTCATGGGCAAGGACATGGGCTCCCAGTATGGAGCTGCAAACCCAGCCTGGGCAGCTGCACAACAAAGAAATCACCCTGCTATGAGCCCCGGAAGCACTGGACAGACCCTCAGCAGGAACCAGGTAACCATAAGAACCCCAAAGAGCAAACCGTTGTGTGGTTTAACTTCGTGTATTAATGTGTCCGATGCAACCCTTACTTTCTGCTTTACTTTTCCTCTACTACTCCATCTCCACTGCTTGCTGCCTCCCTAACAGGATTGGATAATGCATAATGTCTGACTCTGATTAGGTTAGAGAGGCATCACAGGGGGAATGACTTTTCTTCGAAAAAATAAGACCATTTTTATGAGACGGCTGAACAATACAAGAGACCCACTCTACCCCACCCAGTGCTCCTACTCTAGACTTATTAGAAATCTGAACACACAAGGCCCCGAGGAGAACCACTTTGGAGAGGGAAAGGGAGGGACCACTGTCATTTTATTGGTTGTGCCAGTTATGCTGCCTTTATCCTGTCCTGATTATTTCAGAAAAAAGACCTTTAAAGTTATTAACACATTGCTTTTGCTTGGATGCAGTTGTATTCCAAAACCTAGCAGAAACAGGTTAAGTAGCTTGTATATGTGCCCTACCACTGATAATTTTCAAGGCTTACGTTGTTCTTCGGATGACCTTTTCTTTTTGCATGTTTCTCCTGCCTTTCCAGTCTGGATACACTCAGTTTAAAAGCATATAGAGGAAGATCATTTTAAAAATCCGTTGTGTTCTAAGTGAAAAGAGCTCTTTTTCTTAAACTAGAAAAGGCCTGAATGCTGCAAGAGATCAACAGTCCGGATTTTTGGTGACTATACATCTTTTCTGATTATATGCATCTTGTAGGTTGCCAAATTAATAGGTATCAGATGGTGATTGAACAATGCTTGCTTGAGATTCTTTTTTAGCACCTTTAAAACGATAGGAAATAACTCCGCGCCCTTGATGTTTCTTATTCTGCTGTCTGAGCCTAAAGAGTGACTTGATCTCCTTTGCGAGGTTTGGAATTTGAATTGTGGAGGTAAACTGGCTGTAATAGTCTCCAGACAGCTGCCTCTGAGTTGACATCTAATCTGCCATCTGATTGGCTCCCCTTTCTCCATTGGGCATTTAGCATTGCTGATGTAAATAGAATTGCTGAGCAGTACAGTCACAAAAATTCTTGCCACAAATAATAACTGAGCACTTTTGCTCACAGATGCAAGGTTACATGTTCTTAGAAGAAGCTGAAATAATTGGCAGTCCTCGATAGATAGCTGAGGTTAAGTGGAACTTAGCACACCACTAGTATTATATTAAACATTAGCAATGATAATAAACATTCAGTTTTTTTTAGAAAGGGGGATTAATTCCTTTCTTCACTTTGTTTTGCATATTTGTTTAGCTTTTTTGTTTTTGTTAATGGGTTTTGGAAAATGCCTTCGTTCTGATAGCATTAATAAATATTTTAAGTTTTAAGTCATTGGGACAGATAATAAACAGAATTCTAGCCAATTACTTGTGATTTTTTTTTCCTGTGCTGTGCCGCATTTATTAGATCTGTATTTGTGTGACTGAATTCTTGCTGAGTATTGATGTTTTATAGAATTTCATATTACCTTAGCATTTATATATATATATATATATATATATATATATATATATATATATATATATATATATATATATATATGTGATGTTAATTTTATTTGTACATTGGTTACTATTGTATCGCTCACACCCTTAGATATGTAGCTATTAGATAACTTATTAATATTGCTTAATGTCTGGGTTTTGTTTGCTTCTAAATTACATTAACATTCAGAAAACTGATTTTTTAAAAAAAACCTGTTTTGTATTTCTGCTTTATTGACTAGAAACAGAAATTACTGTACTTCATTTCATTCTTTTATTTAAAAGATAAAATGCAAACCTATGTTTAAATTTGCAATAAACAATTTTTAAAAGAGTAATATTTTAGTATTACTAGGGACTTTTTTCCTTACTAAGACTATGTTATTATGAATGCTAAATCTTTGAATCTGTTTTAAGGGACAGGAATAAGAAAAATAGATTTTCATATATACTATTTGGAGATACCAAATAGCTCAGGTTTAAAATAAAATTTAAATGATTGTGTCCTAGAATAGAAACGGACTGCAGTAATGAGTGATGGGCTAATCAGAAAAATAATCAGAAAAATAATTTGAATCCTGGGTAGACTGAAAACATATTTGACTTATTGTTTTTATGCTATTGCTTTAATATTTTAGTATCTTCTTTTTCCTCTCCTTTATGAGGAAGTAAAAATTCAAAGAACTCTTTTTTTATTCTAATTTCCTAAGATTAATAAAATCATTAGCAAAATGTGTATGTATATATAACCTCAGTTCAATTTAAAATATTTGCTTTATTTTCTGTACTGTAAATGAGATTATTCTAGCATATAGTTTTAATATGTTGAAAAGATAAACTGGATTTTATATGATTTCTTCATGGGAAAATAGTAAGTTTTCAATTTAGTTAAAAAAGAGATCAGAATCATAATGACCTTATCATGACCCTTAGAAATAGATTTTACACTTAACTGGTGCATATCCTGCTTGTGAGGACAAATACTTGTTCACCACCATCATATCTTGGATGCAATTTATAAAATGTAGTCTGACAAGTTTCTTTAACATATGAGCATTTGGTAGTAACGTTCATAATGAATATAATTCATTAGTATGTTTTTGTTACTTTTCTCTTACAATTCAAATTATTTAAGTAATAGAGTCCAAAATGGCATTTCTATTTTAAAAAGCAAAAAGTTATCAAAATAAATATATTTTTATTTTTAAAATATATTATTTTTCTCTGGATCAGACTCTTAAAATTATAGCTATATACGTCTATTGTATTCCTATGGGCAAAAAAACTATACATTTGAAATGTGTGGAATAAAATGGTTACCAGAACATATATATGAGATGTATCTATTTATAAATGCCCATGTGTGTACAAATAAATGTATAGATATACCTGTACATATGTGCACAATGTAATGCTCAGTCCAGATATACAGTAACCAATCTTCTCTGTAAAATAAAATAGAAATCAGAGCACTATCTGGATGCTTGATGGCATTAATGCTTATTGGTATCTTTGTTTTCAATATATAGGATTTGAATTCTGTTCTGAGCAAAATACTCCCATCTCATTTGTTTAATAAAACAACTTAAATTATTTTAATCATAGCTCTTCCCAAATGTAAAAAGATTACCACGTATAATAATCAAATGAAAATCTCATGAAATCTAGAGAAACTATTCAAGTTCTATTTTTGCAGCATCCATATAGTTACAAATAAGATCAAAAGTAGTACTATTAGGACAGAAGTACATAAGAGTCTCAGACTTAATCTGATTATTTACTAGTTTTGTGATTATACATGCTAAAGATGAGGAGTCACTGATACAGGTTACTTTAAGAAATACTTCACATTTCAGATGGTCATAGGTTAGATTATTACATATGTTATAGATTAATAGATTATATAAAAGCATAGTGTTTGTTACTTATCTTTTTCTTTCTTTTTCAACTTTTGACTTCACTAGATAATTGTTAATTATAAAAACATCAGGTAGTTTATTTATTTTTTAAATCGCAGCCCTTGTTATAGGACTAAGTTATCTATAAACAAGTTCCCCTTCTCTCTCTTTTTTTTGAATTAGCTCTAATTCATTGTTTTGAGTGTAATGTGAAACTGCAGGATCACAACCTGGACACTGATGAATATCAGCTCTATAGCTATAGTACTACTAATACGATATAATACTAATATGAGAAAACAATGCCCTTTATATGCTCAGCATTAGTTTCTGATTAAAATTCTCAATTATAAATTCTGTGGTAATGGAGCAATATAATTAATAGCTTCTTTGTTATAATTATCACTAATAATAGTGAGGACATTAGTGCATATTATTGATTTCTGAAATATTAAGGATGCTGGAATATTGAGTTTTCAACTGAAATTTACATTCAACTTTGCTTGAGGTAACTATTGAGCTAGTCAGTTTTATAGACTTTTCCACCATGTACTCTCTATGAAGCAAGATTATGCTTTCCTAACACATAAAATATAAATGTAGTTGTAGTAGATCAATCAGTAGATCAAACTGCCCATAATATGTATAAATTCTTCATTAAAAGGATAGGCCTATCCCTGGCATTGTTGTAGAAAATAGTAGGATGTTTGCAGTGTGCTGCTCACATGAGTAAGATCTCAACTTGCATCTTTAAAATGAATATTTGCCCTAATATTTAATATTTATAAGCATGATGTTGGAGCAGCATGCATATCTATTTCCCCTTGTTCCAAATACAAACTATATTATTCCAGTAGGCAAATAGAAGATCAAATTTAGAAAGGAAGTTTAAGCAAAGACATTTCTTTCAATTCAGTGAATGATGATAAAGAAAATAAATCCAAATCACTATTCAAACTGCTGTATCTTCCATATTGCTGGAAGTGAAAAAGCATAAAGTTGTGTGTTTGGGAAAAAGACAGCATATAAGATGGGCATCATCTTATTTTTCACTCTTAGGTTAATTATGCTTACTCAGCATATTAAGTCTAGTCTGATTGACCCGAAATGTTCACATACTGCATGTTATGAAGCAACGTTATGTGCATTCTCATTTATATAATTGCCCTCAAGCTTACTAAGGCTCCAGTAGGGCATTACATTTCAATACAGCTTTGAAATTTGCTGTCTCCTGTCCTATGATGCTTAATATATTTCTCATGAACAAATGCTTACTTTCAGTCTTGATGATCTGTGTCATTTATTAACAGAGATGTGAGGGAAAAGGGGTAATGTTTTTATGAACTCATGAAAGGTAATCATGGAATTGATTTCTCCTTTCGTTTTAATAGTTAAAGGCTGTTTGCACATTCTAGCCTGATCCAAAGCTCTGTTTCCCTTATTAAGATTTTAAGTTAGAAGTGCTGTCACAAGCCATTCCTTTGGGATTACACACATGCTTGGTTCAGAAAAAAAAAAAGCACAAATGTGCTAAAGTTTCTACTTTCCTGAAGCATTCATTTGCCAGGACAAAAG